TGTGTGTGTGTGTGTGTGTGTGTGTGTGTGTGTGTGTGTGTGTGTGTTCGGGGTGGGGGGTGTCTGGGGGTCCTCCCCCAGAGAATTTTGAATAAAGTAGATGCAATTTCCTGCATTCTGGTGTATTTTACAAAGATTTATGACAGTAGAATAACATAACAAAAGATGTAAACTCTGTTATTATTGAAATCTCTGACTGCAAAGCTGCAGCTCTGCAGGTAAGGGGCGTTCACTTCAGAACAATTTGAGGTCACCGACTGGTTTGTTGCTGACATGCCTACTGGATTGATTGACAGGTGGAGTGATTTGTACCAAAAAAAAAATCTTAGATTTTACTGGCCTGTTTAAGACTGTCGTCATTTATTCCATATTTATTCAATATTTTGGTGAATCTAAGATTTGAGAACTAAGCTTCCTTACACAATCCTAATGATGGTTTCTTTATTTTTCAGGGGTGCTATTTAGGCGTGCTTAAGCACCCCCAAAAAAAGAGGCTAAAATCACCACTGAAGCCAGTTCATATTTATAATTTACTTTTAAATGCTTTATGTGTGACTTATAAGTGTATTAAGTGCAGGATCGTTTCTTAACTTACTAGTTGTTTAGTATATCCCACACTGTGTTTTTTAATAAAATTGCCCATGACTTTGAACTTGTAGGGGAGGAGCTTTTTTTAAATCAGAATCAGAATAAGCTTTATTATCATTGTATCGGAATACTGTGAAATTATGTTCGTACAGTCATCCGAAAGATGAATGAAGTGCACATTGTTGCTGCTGAGAAGCGTGGCCCCTTATTCTTTATCAGAATACATTTTGTTAGAAAAAGGGAAGAACCATGAGGATAGATAGTGGTATTACAAAAAGAGATCTCTTCACATCTTGTCCTATCTGGACACAATTTGTGACGTAAAAAACTCTACCAGCAAGTACATTTGAAAACATGATTACATATACATTTGATGTCAAGGTGTTGAGATTTGTGCATGAGCATTTTTCAGATAGGCCACAGTTCTGATGATGTTGTTTCAGCCGGCTGTTCTGATAAGCTTGCACAGACGTTCTCGGTGTGTGTGTGTTGGGGGGGGGGGGGGGGGGGGCACTGTGATAGATGAAGCTTTTGTAGTTGCCCATGACCCAGGAGAAATTTGATAGTTGGCCCATCTCTGAGGCAAAACGGGGGTGTCAGATTCAGATAAGCCTTGACTGTTGATTTTCTTCAGGCAGGCAGATTTTTTTTTCATTAGCCTTGAGTCCTTCTGGTCTTTCTGGTTCAAAATGGCCTGATTTATGGGAATCCATTCCACGGATACATGTTATGAGCCTCTTTCAAGGTCGATCTCACCACACTGACAAGTCCCAGAAGCTGCAGGTGGCCTGTGATTCTCATAAATCGCCTCCACCTTACGGTTTAGCTCGTAAATCAGTTGATTTTGAGTACTCACTGCACAAACCAAACCTTCACACTGATTGGAAGCTTTGCCATGGCCGAAACTGCTGCTGATGTCTTCTTCAATAGTCGATAAAACAGAGCCCCGCTGATGTAAAAAAGCAGAGACCCTGCTATCATAAATCAAAATATATAAACGTTTTCAGCGTCCTCCTGAGGCAGGACTGAGAGGCACATCAACTGCCACTCTCCCCACGGACCCATGATGTACCCCACAGCGTGAGTCTCAGCTGGACAAGCGGGTTCTCCAGGACCCTGACGTTTTGTTGAAAAGATTTTGTCGATTGCGTTGAAAGTCCAGGTCACCAGATCCATAATCTTAATTTTTGTTCCGGAGATGTGTACCAGGTGCTTCAGACACACAGAGAGCGAAGCAGGAGGAAGGAGAACAGGGGAGGGAAGGCAGAAGCAGCCACCTTGAGCGAGAGCCAGACAGAAAAAACAAACTGCTCTGTGTCAGTTTTACAGAGTTTGTAAGAGCAGAAGCAGAAATACGAAGCGACAGATGTGATGTTAGGAAGCTTGTTATGTTTAAAATGAGTGTTTATGTAATTATTGTCAGTTTACATATCCAATATAGTTTTTATTTGTTCAAGGCAGTCATATTTGTTCATAACTTTATTATTATTAGGCCTGAGAGTGGATCCAAGCAAACAGTTACCGGAACACACCCTGTCAAAATAAGAGAGTTCCAGCTGGGTCCGGCTCAAATATAGCCCTGACTTAAAAAATTAATGAGTTGTAGATGTTCTTTCAGTGATTATACTTTCTAAGAGTTTTTGCTAAATAACACATAAAACACATAAAACATCACCTTTTGTCTTCAGGTGATAAAGAAGGAATAAAAACTCATATCTAAGCACAGATTTTAATGTGGAGGAGAAATCCAATGTATGAGAATTTTAAAGCAGCCTTCGGTAATCCTCGACCCTCAGGAGTCCTTTAACTCGAAGCCAGAGGCGCTCATTGCTGCAACTGTGACCATTTGTCAACACAAGCGTCATCGCATTCACGACCCCCACAGGCGGCCCCCCCTCTGCATCTCATCCGCCTCAGGTTTTCCCTTTGTATGCATAAAAATAAACACCAGCTAATTTAAAAAGCACACCAACATATCTGAAGCGATCACAAACAATTTTCATGTTTTTACTCGCTGTTGCGTGCAGCGTAATCAGTCGGACGTTCCGGTGGATACGATACACACCGGCATAGATGATTTCCTTGGAGACATTTGTCCTTAATACACCGTTTACAGTGTGGGAGTATAGCCTTTCAGAGCGAGACTAATTAATTTCCAGCAGAATAAAGAGATTTGGGAGATGAAGCTGTTGGGACCATTTTAAAAGACACCTTCTGGGAACAAGCTGGCAAAGAACTAAATATAGTAACAGAAATACCACGAGGTAAAAAGTAATGACTTTTTAATGGTTCTGATAAACTTACCCAACATTTATGTTATTTATAGTCCTGCTCGTGCTGCCATGGTGATCAGCATTCAGAGTGAATGATGCACATGCACACAATTATAAAATGTATATAGTTTACAGGTTAAAGCAAATGGCCTTGTGTTGAATATCAAAGTTTTTCTGTAGGTTTTACCTTTGGTTCTCCCTCTGATGATGCCCAGTCGACATCTGAGAGAAAAAGACAGCATCCTCCTCTTTGCTCCTGCAGAGCCTCTCCTCTGGGGATCTGTCTGACAGGTGAAAGAAAGCTGTTTGGAAGCGAGATGTCCTTTTCCAAACTTCAGCCACATGTTCGTTTTCTGACCTGTGATTAAAAATAAAACAGATTTTGTCCTCCTGCTGCTCTCACCATCTTACTTAGACAGTGTAGTTTCTGTGTTCCCCTCTCTGAAGATCCAGATCCATTAGGTGAGTCTTTCAGGCCAAATGATGTAATGTTCTGATCCAACGCGCTTTTAATTTGTTCTTTCCAACCATCATCAGTCTCTTGTTCTAATCCAAGCAGCCACAAGCCAACTGTCTGGATGAATGTTGATTTTGCTTCTGTGGCGATGTCAGTGTTGCAGGGACAGATGGCAGAGGTCTCGGGGCTGTGGGGCACAGCCTGCCTGCCAGAATGCAATGGAAACCTTTTCTGCAGGGAGTCCGTGTTCAGCCTTGTAGAACAATACGCAGTCAGAGTGGGCCAATTCAAGACTGTTCTGAAGACATGTTCCTACAAGTGAAGCTGTTACTGAACCATGTCTGCTGAGCATTTATCACAGCAAACCAGGGAGAAACTAAAGTTGATCATTTCATTAACTCACAACCATCCTAATGAAGTGATTTCACCAATTTAACAGCATGACAAATTCGTGCGACTTAGTTCGCTGTGGCAACTCCTAAAATAAGGAGCAGCTGAGAGAAGAAAAAGCCAGCATGACTGGGTATTTATTTGAAGTCAGGAGGGTTAATATTTTATTGTATAGGCCTACTTAGATGGTTAAGCATTTTATCAATTGCAACAATTACAGCCAATTCCTAATCCAGTAACTTTTAATATTTCAAGCTGTGCTGAAACTCAGCCAGAACATGTACTTGTTAATCTGAGGTTCAGATATTTGCCTTAACTGTTTTTTAACTATACCTGTATATACATTTCAATCAGCTCAAATATTTTAAACTAAGGTAAGATAAAACTAGTCTTCATTTGAACTCTTCAGAAATCAAGTTTATTTTACCACAAATCCAGACTTAGTGAATTTTATAGTGTATTTGTATTAACTGCAGCTGCCATGCATCATCAAAGTTTATATACCAGGAACTGAAACCATTTTAAATTTCTCAGAGATGATGCTTATTTGCTATGCTTTTCTTATCCAAAAAAGAAACATTTTAAACTAACCAGGTAAGATCCTAATGGTCCCAAGCTAACACTGTGGAAAAACCCTGTGTGGACAGCTTTTTCAACAAGTTTCAGGTTTGATTTTTTAACTTTCGAAAACAATCCTGCAGAATAAGCAAAGTGGGATTAAAAACATACAGTAATCAGGTTTTTGTTTTAAAGAGTTTATTGTAAATAATGAGTTTATTCGTTCTCTTCGCTCCTGAGCCTGGCGTTGGGGTTGGTGACCTTGATTGCCAGTTGAGCTGCTCTCTCCACAATCAGCTTCCTGTTCTTAGAGGAGACGTTGTGGGCGATTTCAGCACAGTGGGTCCTACGCAGGCAGAGAAACACGCTCGGTATGAAAACAAGTCACAGTTGAAATGTCAACTAGAAATTTTTAAGTTGGCACAGATTATCATTAGAAATAAAATCTGAACCCAAACTGCTCCCCGATGAGTCTAAATGTAGACACATTGAATTAATGTCATCACTGCACAGGAAGGATGGAGAAAGCCCCGACGTTTTCATGTGCCCTTGATTCTTAGTCCACTCCTACAAATATGTTTCTGCAAGTCTTCACTTTGTTGAAAGGTAGTCATGAAAAGTATAAAGAATAAACCTTGAACTTTACAAAATGCTAACACTATTCTGAAACGCGGATCCAGATTAATGTAAACTAAATATCTACATGGAAGCTCGAGAATGACCTACATTTGGCTTGTTGCTTTGTGTATGTAAATACATTTGCATAAGTTGGCTGCCGGGCACAAACTGTGCTTATTAAAATTAAAAAACAAACCTATCTGAGGAAAGTGTTCAGATTTTGTCTGTTCTTTATGACTTTGCATTGAGTATGTTTAACAATGTGACGCTATTAATTTCATAAATGAGTGTTTTCAGTTCGGGCATCTGAATAGGACGCCTCTCTTTAAGAGGTTTTCCTCTTCCCTAGGGTAGACCAAGAAAACACCGAAGGGATGGTGCATGTCATTCCCCGATCTGTTACCAAAGCATGAGCCAGTGTTGCTCATTTGCGCATGCGCTAAAAAGGAATACTTCCGGGTCGCACGCATCGCCGCTGAATATGCTAGATTAAGAAAAATGTATGGGTATAATTCTGTTTATGAATAATAACCGTCTTCATTTACTTACAAAAGTATGTGCTCTATCTCCCGCCGATTTTCATGTTGCTAATTTACGCCACTCATATTTCCGTTAAAAGCCGACGTATTTACGTCATAGTTACAAAGATATGCAGCTTCACCACTGAGTGGCGCTGTTTCACCATGGAAATAACTCTTTCTGAATCTTGCAGGGTTTTTCCTCTGCCAGCCCAGGCCGGGGGTCAGGTCTAATGCATTGCACATCATCTTGATGATTTGTGATGGAAATACGAGTAACATAAATAGCTACTTGAAGATCAGTGGAGATAGAGCGCGTACTGTTCTAAGTAAATTAAGACGGTTTTTATTCATAAACAACGGAGATTCGTGCGACCCGGAAGTACACTACGGAACACGTCCAGAGGGATGTCAGTTTCTCTCCTGGACATGTTGCCTCCACAACCTGACTACAACAAGAGACAGATGGATGAACAGCCTTATTTTCTTAGTGCAGTTTGTCAATTTTATCTGTCTCCATGTGGTTTTCAGGCAGTTAGATTCTTGAGTTTTCACTGATTTTAATTATTTACAGAATAGTAAAATGCCAATTTAGTTTAATTAAGAAAACATTTAAAAAGCTAGTCAAGAAACATGCCAGTTTTTTGAAAAGTAAAGAGTTAATTTTTTTTAAAACATGGTGCAGTGGCTAAGTTGGTTACAGGTTGTTACAGTAAAAACAAGATGTCAACCATCAAACAAGCTGCTGGTTGTTTTTCATTAAAAAATTAAAGACAAATCTTTCAAGCCTAAAAAATAATAATAATTTAATCATTTTAAATAACCATTACTCAGTGGTTAAATGCCAAATAACTAAATTGAGCTCTTTGTGTCATTGACAAAGCAAAAGCAGTCCAAGTATTCACTGCACAAGTTTAATAAGATGAAAGTCCCATAAGCAGAGGGACCATTTCAGATTTATATTACTGAAATGTAAATCAAAATGAAGTCTTTATTAAGTAGCAGCGAAGGTGTTGCTGTATTTTCTTCTAGTCAGAACTAGAAAAAATAAATAAAAATCCAAAACATGAATATTAGTCTGCCTTCAGGCTCAGGCCTCCCTTGCAAAAGAGATCTGTGATCTCAATGGGATTTGCCTGGTTAAATAAAGGTTAATAAATACAAAGTTAGAAACAGCTAATAATTACAGCACAGTAAAATCTACACTTTTTACCACAACATGTAATTAAATCATTCAAGTACAATGTAATGTACATTCATAACACCAAACACCTGACGTGGAGAATTTCAATGACTTCCACTAGGCCGTTTTTTAACAATTCTGTTTGAAATTTGGACATATTCTGTGTTGCGCTGCCTCTCCTGAGCATTTCAGCAAAACGTTACGACCAACGATGCTGCGACAATTTCCAAGCACACCAGAGGAAAGTGGCATGAGAAATTCAACACTTTTCTACATCTGTGTAAAATGGCTAAGAGGAGACAAACAAACGTATAGACACAATCCTAAATACTGGCAACTTGGGATTACCAGTACTTTAGTTGACATACGTGAGAGACGGAGCCATTCAAGCTGCAGAAGTGGCCATCACACATTTGGAGAAGCTAATCAGAAGTTTATAATCTAACTGAAATGAAGAGAATGTGTGTAAAATTAAATCTACTCTTTGATACGAGTTTGATTTATTTTCTGTTCACTTGATGTCACCGTTACACAAAAAGACAAAAATTAACCATTACAAACTGGCAACAATTAATACACTTGAAGCAGCACTTGAATGTTCCTTGTTGAATTCTTCACTACATCTATTCATACGGTTTTGTTTATTTAGATACTACAAAGTTACCATTTTGTTTTATTTGATTTTAATGTTTGACAAGAAAATAAAAATTCTCAACACACTCATTCGAATGAAAAAGTTCAACATTTTATTTCTATTTGTTCTACACGACACTTTATAGTCTGCATTGTTAAATGCACATTTATGATTTATGGAGGGAGAATTGCAATACGTGGCCTTTAACACTTGAAATTGATTTAAAACGGCTTTAAAATCTTTTTTTTTTAGACTGCTATTAAACGGCTTCATTGTTCTTTGGCAAGTTCTGATTAAAAAGAAATTTGAGATTTTACTTTCAAGTCTTCACATCGTCAAGTAATTACTGTAATATAAATCCAATTCCAAAAATAGCTGCACGAGGCGTACATACACTCAGTACGTGCTCTTCTGTTGGTGATACGAGCTGGAAACAAAGGTGCTGCAATAAATCTGAATAAACTCAACTAGCAGTTGATATTTTGAGAACAAACTCTCTTTGGTCGTTTTTTAAATCATCTGAATCAAATACTTAATTATGATAAAAGTATTTTTCCATGGTCTTAAATGTTATTATAACCAAGACTAGATCTAATATATATTTAGAAAAAGAAACCATCCCCTCTTGGGATACGAGCTGAAACATCAGCTGTGTTAGATTACTAAATGTTCTGGTACAAATCAGGCTTGTTTAATTCTACACTAAGTCATGTTTCATGTTTAATCCGAGCAGCTTTATCTCTGCCTCTTTAACAAGAGCATTTACAACTTACTTGTTACTCATCATCAGGACCTCCAGCTCCTTCACGTTGTGCACCAGGAACTTTTTGAAGCCAGATGGCAGCATGAACTTGGTCTTCTTGTTGCTACCATAACCGATGCTGGGCATCAGCATCTGGCCCTTAAACCTCCTGCGGACCCTGTTGTCGATACCCCTGGGCTTGCGCCAGTTTGGCTGATAACAGAACAAAAATACAGTGAATAAATTTCATTTTTTGTCAACAACAGCAGAGAAGTCGTGTTTAACTCTCATAAAATCACTTACCCTAAGCTTAACATATCTATCAGACTGATGGCGAATGAACTTCTTGGTTCGCTTTTTCACTATCTTGGGCTTCGTCAAGGGTCTGAGGGCCGGCATGTTGACTGAGGAAGAACAAATGGAAAACACGTTATTTAATGTCCAAGCACAAAATGTGTCAATAGCAATAACAATACGAGAATATTTATGCACGAAGTGTAGAACGAAGACTATTTGAAGTTCTTTTTGCGGAGTGATCTTCAACGCAAACGTGTTGACAAACGTTAGCAAGCTAGCGCCTGTTTGGCTAAGTAGCGAGCTATGCTACTACCATCAACCCGCTCTCTTACTTTGGATTGAACAGTCTATTTAAATATGAAAAGTGTTTGTCATTGAAGTTTTTAAACAACTTGTTCCTTTACTGAATGTTACAACTCGGAACAGCGCTGCTAGCCGGGTTAGCCGCTACAGCAGACGCACTCTGCTCTTTCACGATGCATTTATGACAAGAACTGAAGACAAAATGGATAATATTAATGTCCACATATAAAGTGAACCTTAATGCTTCATAAACTATGTCGAAGTAGTCAGATAATGAAGAAATCTATGCGGATTAGGTTAGATCGTCCATGCTCACCCGCCGACGTAAATCCAAAAGGGACTTCAGCTGCGGCAGAAAGGAAGAAAAGGACTTCCGTGAGTGAAGCAATGATTTATGGGTAATGTATTTTTTAAGCTCCAACTGAGCAAGTACGAATGATTTCTTAGAACGCGTTGTTTATCAGGTCATTTTCAACTTTAAAGTGTTTGTATTATTCACAGACTAATTGGTTTACATTTTTATACTATTTGAAGACGTTATATGTTTAATCTGTGCGGTGAGTTAGATATTGTAACACGTGTGTGCACCTCCTCAATATGTTTGTGTGTAAAAGAAAATCACACATCTTGTACTGAACTGTGATTTTTTTTTTTATCTTACTGTTGGATTTTTTTTAATAGTCAAATTAAAACTCCTAAGATTAGACCAGTGCCCTGAGAAATATGGGGTCATGCCTGATTGTTGTTCTAGAATTGCACCGCTCAAGGTGGCTGCATGTTGGAGCAGCTCTGCTACTTTCATTCTGAGATTTTGTTTTTGGAATCTTTAAATCCTCTTTTTCTGGATGTAAATCACATTATTTGGATGGTTGTTTCTTCTGGTATCAGATGTTGTGCAGTTGGAAGGATTTTTACTGAAACTTTTTTAGTTTTGGACATTTGTTATGATGCGTAACCATGGCAACAAGGCAGTTTTCTACAACCAACAGCAGCTGATTAACATCTCAAAAGCTCAAATAAGATCTCAACTACAGCCTAAATCTCAAATGAGTTGAAAGGCTGTTCTGTGGACGCATTCTCATCTACCTGCCAGCTGTGCTCGAGTGTCTGACCACTGAGATCCTGGAAATAGCAGGAAACACGGCTCATGACAGAGGAAGGACAGGATCGTCCCTCGGCCCCTACAGTTAGCTGTCCACAGTGACGAGGAGCTCAGCGGGCTGCTGGGAGTAATGGCCATCGCTCTGGGAGGAGTTCTGCCCGGCATTCGGGCGTTCCTACAGCCTGGGGGAACCGAGAGGCCAGCCGAGTCTGGGTGGATGGATCAGACGACATCTGCAGCCAGTTTCTTAGGATCCAATGTGGGATGGACCTTTACAAGAGATCCTTCCTGTCTACAGCCATCAGCATCTACAACATCTCAATGAAATGAGGATAACGAGTTATAACAACAAATAATTTCCTTTTGGGATTAATAAAGTAAAGTATATTTGAATATAATTTTAGCACTACAGACTGTAACCAATATAGTTTTGTAATAAAAAATATTTGCAGATTGATTTTAAATTAGGTATTAATATTGAGTTGTTATTTTTATGAACTTTCAGATAGCTTGTTCCATGTCCCATGAGTTCTGTGCACTTTCATTAAAAAAAAGAGCGATGAATACTTTTGCAAGGCACTGTTGCAGCCTATTTACAGATACTGAGCTATAATTTGGTGTGATAGTAGATGAACATCATCACATATAATTGTTTTTATTGCTTAACATTTTGACATTAACTGATGGAGTCAGCCCTGTTTGTTTATCAGCAAATATCTGGAAATATTTGCTGAAACTCTCAGAAAATAATTATTGGATGTACAGCTACACATACATTTTGAGCTCAACCCAGTGGAAAATGGCTGCCATAGTTTATCAACCTTGGCCCACACACAAATGGCTATATTTCTGCCAATTTTACATAAACTGATCTTAAATTGATATGGTAGCCTTAAAACATACTCAACAGATAATGTGAGGTCACACAAGTAATGCACGGCAGAAGATTGTGACTAGTGTTGTTTTTATGGACTGATAAAAATGGCTACTCTCATTTCTCAACATAAAATTATTCTGCTTTACAAACTCTAATTGAAAGGCAACGAGCGATATGCATTCCTTCAAGGAATGCTACGTCTTTCATTACACTTACTGAAAATGGACATGCAGAATTAAAAACAGCCATCACGGTGGAGCAGTTGGTAGAGCCTTGCAGAGAGAAGGTCGCCGGATTAAATCCCAGCTGGGGGCCTTTCTGGGTGGAGTTTACATTCTCTCCGTGCATGCGTGAGTTTTCTCCAGGTACTCTGGTTTCCTCCCACAGACCAAAAACATGCATGTTAGGCTGATTGGTAACTCTAAATTGTCCCTAGGTGTGAGTGAGAGAGTGAATGGTTGTTTGTCTCTATGTGTCCCTGTGATGGACTGGAGACCTGTCCAGGGTGTCCCCTGCCTCTTAGCAGCCTCAGGGTAGAAGCTGTTTCTCAGTCTAGTGGTTCTACACTTAATGCTCCTTAACCTCCTTCCTGAGGGGAGCAGGGCAAAAAACGTGTGTGTGCTGGGTGAGTGGGGTCCTTCGTGATGCAGGTGGCTCTCTTCCTGCATCTGGAGGTGTAAATGTCTGTGATGGTGGGGAAGCTGACTCCAACTCCAACTGTGCAGCCTTCACCACTCTCTGTAAAGCTTTTCCTTCTGCAGCTGTGCAGCCTCCATGCCACACGTTGACGCAGGAGCACAGGATGCTCTCCACTGCACACCTGTAGAAGGAGGTGAGGACTGAGCTTCCCAGACCAGCTCATCTCAGTCGTTTGAGGAAGTAGATTCTCTGATGAGCTTTCTTGATCAGGCTGGCGGTGTTGTTGCCCCAGCTTATTCAGGTGCACACCCAAGTACTTGTAGCTGGAGACCACATCCACTGCCAATCCTCCTATGTTCAAGGGGGGGGGGGGGGGTGGTGGTGGGGGGGGGGGGGGGGGGGTTGTTCCTTCCTCCTTCGTCTTCTTCACATTGATGTGAAGGTTGTTATCTTTGCACCAGTTCTCCAGGTGTTCCACCTCATGCCTGTAGCTGGACTCATCATTGTTAGTGATGCATCCCACCACCGCTGTATCATCTGCAAACTTTACAAAATGAAAGCCTGGATGGGTAGCTGCACAATCATACGTGAGCAGAGTGAACAGGAGAGGGCTCAGCACACATCCCTGCGGGGAGCCAGTGCTGATGGTTATGATGGAGGAGAAGTTGTGGATCCTCAGTGACTGCTGTTGCCCCAGGTACCTTTGGCAAATAAAGAGCAAATGTTTCCAAATCTACAAGACATCTTCTCCATGATGACAGAATAAGCACAGTTAAGGACTTGTTGAAAAAATTAGTTCCCATCCAAAAAAGTTCAATCAGGTCCTCTGGACATTCAAAGAAACAAAACAAAAAAATATATAGAAATGTTTTGTCTCTCATCCGAGAGATTCCTCAGTCTCAGGTGCTGTATTCAGTTCCCATGTTATGAAGGGGGAAGAGATAATTTCAGACAGCTGAAATATTTGATTCCCAGGTAACTTTGTCCAAGAGCTAATCTTTCCAAATTCTCAATTATAGTTGTGTGTATAGTTGTATGATCGAAAAACTTTATCTTAAGATGATTAAACCCACCCTGCCCCATGGGGTAACTAAACATTACAGGGTGTGAGCTTCAGGCTGAAATCTTGGTTTTTTTGGTTCTCATTTGAAAAGAGAGAAAATTTGTTCATATACTACAGAATGATAGAGGAATATTTTAACACATTTAATACATATACACATACATACACCTGCAAGAAAAGCTTTGCAGAGAGTGGTGAAGGTTGCACAGTTGGGAGTTGGAGTCAGTCTCCCCACCATCACAGACGTCTACACCTACAGATGCAGGAAGAGAGCCACCTGCATCATGATAATTTAATTCAATTCAACTCAATTCATCCATCCATCCATCCATCCATCCATCCATCCATCCATCCATCCATCCATCCATCCATCAATCCATCCATCAATTCATCCATCCATCCATCCATCCATCCATCCATCCATCCATCC